AACTAGCATTTTTGTTGAACAGCCTTCTAGAATTCATTATAAAAAACCTAGAAGATAGACATGAGTAAAGATATGCAAATAAAATATGTGATGTGAAGGAAATGAAAAGACCAGAGTCAATTCTCAAGTTCCATGAGGCTAACAAAATCTAGAAAACTGAGCAACAAGTAGGTTCCATGATCACTAAAAGAAAGACCCATACGCTACCTTTTGCAGCTGCCTGATGGGGAACAGGGACTGATGCATTGCAGAGCTAGCTGCAAATAGGTGATACCTATTTGACTAGTGTCTGAGGGCAGGTACATATTGTCTTTTGCTGCTGTCATATGGGAAACACCGACTGATATAACTTGATATAATGCTGACCTAGCTGTGGGTCTGAATTAATACAGAGCTAGCTGAAATCAGCTATATTGTTGCCTTTCTTTATCTTTTTTCTCTGCTGTTTCCTTTAACCATCAATTAAATTCCGATGAGGGGAATGTTACAAATTCTGCTACATAAGCCATGATGTGGGGCTTCCTTAAAGAGAAATGGATCTAGCCTCCAATATGGAAGATGGTGAAATTGTTTCAGATATTTTATAAAGGATACTATGATACCTAACCTGTGGAAACAATAGAAGAAATCCTTTATCCACATAGTGGTTTAATTAAAATAAATTTCTGTAAAGAAGAATACAAGATAACTACTGAAAATCCTCAGATAAGTCTAAATTCCTTCCTCATATACCATCTTATGACTAAAGCCTTATGTCTTACTTTTTCTTTTGCTTCTGACGGTTGGACTTCTTTTTTCGGCTATATATAACTAAGTATGTACAGAGAAGCTAAAAGACACTAAAAAGACAAATTAATAGATTGGGGACATTCAGCTTCCTATGATTGCTCTGAAGGAATCCAGCAACTGAGATAAGAGAGCTTTGTATAAAAAGCGCAAATATACAGATTTTTTTTTTATTTTTTTTGCTGTTTGTCTGTGTAAATATTATTTATGATTATATGCCTACCTATTTACCTATGCTTAACTTTAGTTACCCATGATATAGACTTCAGTGGTCAATTAATTAGAACCCCAGGTGTAGGTAGAATATTGTTTATTTCATATATACATAGGACAATGGCCAGTAGAGATAAAATCAAATCTTTGACAAGGAAAGACAGCGAAAAGATGGAAAAGGAAATTAGCAAAAAAGATAAAAATCTATCAGGTTTCTTTTCACCTAACTCACAAAGAGATGCATCAACCTCTTTAAATTCCCCAGTAGCACCAAAAGATAGACTATCATCTGGAAAAATACAAGCCTTACACTCTTTAGACCTTTCCTTTCCTGAACAAACAACTATAACTCCAGATTTTTTTAAATCCTCATTGGAAACACAATGGGAACATACAAGATCTGAAATCCAACTAAATGCTCAGGAAATAAAAAAAAGATATCAAAGATGACTTGCTTGATCTAGGAATTAGAGTTCAGTCCCTTGAAGGGAAAATAGAATCAATACAGGTTGTCTCTCACTAAACCAAAGCTCAATTAAAACAACTTGACTTAAAAGTATCTACAATGCAGACCAAGATAGTAGATCTAGAAGATAGGTCCCGAAGAAATAATGTTAGTATAAGAAATATACCTGAAACTATTACCACAGATTATTTAGAGCAATATCTGTCAGAATTCTTTAGATCCATGGGATTAACAATTAAAATTTCTCAGATGGTTGAATAGTTTCACTGATTACATAAACCTCCATCAGTACCTGAATCTCTCCTCAGAGATGTAATTATAGCCTTCTTGTCAGGTCTAAATCCCTATTAATGAAGGCGTTTATAGAAGTCAAGCAAAAAGCTATCCCTAATTTTAAAAAATATCATGATGCTGCTATTCTTAAACATATCTATAAGTGGTTTAATATAGAACCCAAAGATTCTTGGTACAATCTTGAAAAATTTATGTTGGGTATTTCTGACCTTTCCCTTTTATTATGGATTGATTTTGAAAAAAAATGGGTATTGTTACGAGCTTAGATAATAAATCTGGGAAACATCTTTTTTTTTTTTTATTTGACAATTTTTATTGGAAAATGCTTCGAAATATAGTTAGTAAACAAATAGTTGTAATTCACATGTTAACAATACAAGCCAACAATACATATCCTGTTATTGCATACATTTGTTGATTAATAGCTATTCCTTCCACATTCTTCTGAGAATTTTGGGTGATGAATTATTATACAGGAATGTGTCATGAATTACTATACTGCAGTTGCTGCTTATAACAGGATAGCAAGATAACACACATATAACAATTCTTGAACTTCAAGCATCGTACCTTTTTTAGGGTAGAGGCAGGGCCGGACTGGCCCACCGGGATACCGGGAAATTTCCCTGTGGGCCGCGGCACCTGGGGCTGGGCTGCGCACATAGGTGTCACCGGGTGGCCGGTCCGATGGCACTCAGAGGGGGCCAGCCGTGTTCCTCCCCTCTCCCTCCCTCCTCCCTCCATCATCTCTCTATTCCCCTCACCATCTCTGCCCCCCCTTTCTATGTGTCTCTTCTCTCTCCCCATCTCTCCCCCCTTCCCCTCTGTCTCTCCCCATCCCCCCATTTACCTTAGAGAAGGCAGGGGGCCAGCCGCGTTTCAGGCTGGAGCCGCCGGGCCGGGTGGCAGCTTCACCGGTCCGGCAGCACTGGTGTCTGAAGGAGGAGGAGCCTGTCTACCATGCTCCCTCGTGGTTCCTGTGCTGGGAATTGTGGGAAACGCGAGGGAGCATGGTAGACAGGCTCCTCCTCCTTCAGACACCAGTGCTGCCGGACCGGTGAAGCTGTCACCCGGCCCGGCGGCTCCAGCCTGAAAAGCGGCCGGCCCCCCTGCCTTCTCTAAGGTAAATGGGGGGATGGGGAGAGACAGAGGGGAAGGGGGGAGAGATGGGGAGTGGGAAGAGACACATAGAAAGGGGGGCAGAGATGGTGAGGGGAATAGAGAGATGATGGAGGGAGGAGGGAGGGAGAGGGGAGAGACACAGGGAAAGGGGGGAGGGGGAGAGAAGGGGAGAGGGGAGAGACAGAGAAAGGGGGGCAGAGAGGTGAGGGAATAGAGAGATGGTGGAGGGGGAGGGAGAGGGGAGAGACACAGGAAGGGGAGAGATGGGGAGATGGTGAGGGAATAGAGAGATGGTGGAGGGAGGATAGAGATGGGGAAAGGGAGAGAGACACAGGAAGGGGAGGATGGGGAGAGGGAGAGACACAGAGAAAAGGGGGAGATGGTGAGGGGAATAGAGAAATGGTGGAGGGGGGAGGGAGAGAGATGGGGAGAGGGGAGAGACACAGGGGAAGGGGGGAGAGAGAGAGATGGGGAGGAGGGGGAGACACAGGGAAAGGGGGTGAAAGAGGCAGAGGGGGAAGAGAGACACAAAGAGGGAGAAATGAGAGAGACACACAAGGGGAGGGGAAGAAAGAGGCAGAGGGGGAAGAGAGAGACTGGGAAGGAGAGGGAAGACATTGACACAGAGGAGCAGAGGGGGAGAAAGAGAGGACCTGGGGCAATGCTCCGGCTCTCATGAGGTGAACTCTAGCCCTGGAGCTACGGGCTAGAGTTCACTCTCACCACTTCCTGGTAGTCGCAGTAGTAGGATTGAACTCTAGCCCCATACACACACTGCCCACACACACACCATACACATTCACACACTGCCCCCACACACACACACATTCACACACTGCTCCCCACACACTGAACCTTTCACACACATTGCACCCCTCACATATTGCACCACTGCTCCTATATCCTACTACAGCCCCATATCCCAGCAGACTCCAGGTAAGTTGTCAAACTGTTCTTAAATGGTTTGACTACTTACTCTGGGAGGGGGTGCTGACACTCCTGGCACCATAACCACTACACAGAGGAGTAGTGGTTATTGTGCATGGAATATTTCTTTAAATAATCTACAAGTGCCCCTCCCGGGCTCAGGCTCTGGATCCGTCACTGGTATATGACATGTATATTAATGTGTATATTAGTTTTTTATATATATATATATATATATATATATATATATATATATATATATATATATTATATTTACACATATTAATGTACATTTATATTATGCATAATACACAGAGAAATTTCATTAATATGTACCATATGTAATGAGCAGATATTGGCCCAGTCTTGTTGCTAGGTGCATACTCCAGCACAATAACATATTTAAAGTGAAGAGCACACCCACAGGACTTCAAAATAAACATTTTTTACAGTTGTGCCCTACATACATTCACCATTTCAGTCCCATTAACAAGCTTTCCTTACTATGTCAAGGTGGTTGGACTGAAACATTGATTACATGCAAAGGCACGTCTGCTTAAAATAAACCTGCACTTTTGTTTATTTTGAAGCCTATGAGGGCGCTTTTTACGTTGAAGTACTTTTTAATTTTAAGTTATCTGTTCTAACTCTGTATCTGCACACTATGCTGGTGCGACGCATTATGGGGCTGGTAAATATTTTTTTTCCAGGGCTGCTTTTAATTCCAGTCCGGCCCTGGTTAGCGCAAGTTAGACATGGAAGGGTAGGAAGGGGGGGGGAGGAGGAAAAACTTGGTATGAGAGACTTGTTTGTGCTGCCTTAGGGTGGTCCCTTTTGTATCCCATCTTATGCTGTTATATGTGCTAAGAAATTTTTCCACCTGATGTGTGCTAGGTTCATGTGTATATCCTTTCATATGCCCAGTTCAGTTTTATTCGGTTTATGAGGGTCTCCCGCGATGGAGCTGTTGTTTGTTTCCAGAGCCTGGTAATGCACATAGCTGCTGATATAAGGACATGGTATGTTGCTGCCCACTTATCTTTGGTAAGTGACTCTGGTGGTATGAATAGTATACATAATTCTAACATTAATGAGATTTGTGTCTGTATAATGTCATTTATGATTGCTTCCCGCCAGTATGGTTTAAGGACTGGACACGTCCACCAGACTTGCGACATGGTGCCTTTAGTCTTCAACATGTGTCGGGGGGCTGCGGCCAAATCTGGTGGATCCTAGCTGGTACCAGGTACCAGCGATACAACAGTTTTTGCTGCAGCTCGATGCGTGTGGCACATGACGAGACCCCTTTGTGCGAGGAGTAGGCCTTGGCCCAATCTTCCATTGTTATGGTTTTACCTAGTTCCTTATGCCAAGTTTGTATGTGTGTTTCTCTTCCCTGATCTGGTGCCTGGGTCAGCGCTTTATAACTTATAGAGATTATTTTTTTGGGTGGTTTTCTATGGGTGCATACCATTTCAAATTCGGTCATTAGCATTGTGGCTTCATCAGATGGCCTGCTGGGCTTGTTTTTAGCTAGATAGGATTTAATTTGCAGGTAGGCAAAGACTAATCTATATGGGAGTTTAAATTCTTGTTGTAGGTCTGGGAATAGCTTTATGCCTTTGTCAACTGCCCTATCTCGTGGACTCCCTCTTGTAGCCATGGTATTATGTGTTCTAGGTCTGTTAGTGGAGCTGCTAATGGCATTGGTAAGCATTGTACCATCTGACATTTGTCTGAGTCCCAGGTTTGTAGGATATGTTGAGTCATGGGCAAAAGGTGGGTGGTGTTCTTCCTATATATTTAAGGGGTCCAGAGGATCGAGTGTAGTGTCAGCGGGTGGGCCCAGCTGTTTTATATTCCCAGCCATTGGGGTGATGAGGGGTGCTGTCTAAACTGTGGCACTATCATCAGTGTTGCTGCCTTGTGATATGCCGTTAGGTCTGGGAGACCTAATCCACCCTGGGTTATTGGTCTCTGTAACAGTCTTGTCGCTACTCTAGGTTTTTTGTTCTGCCATGAGAAGTTCGTTATAATTTTCATGAGTGTTTTGATGTACTTGTCCGGTAATGGGATTTGTAGTGTTCTGTATAAATATTGTAATTTCGGTAACAGTGACATTTTTATGGCTGCGATCCGCCCCACCCATGACAAGTAGTTCCCCTCCCAGGAGTCTAGTAGGGTCGGTCTTGAAGATCTCTAATAATGGGTGGTAATTCATTTTAAATAGGGACGTGGGATTTTTTTGTCATTTTGGTGCCCAGGAACGTGAGGTAATCGTCTCTCCAGTCTAGGGGGAACAAGCTTTTAAGGGTTTCCCGTTGTGTGCTGGGTAGGTTGATGCTTAATACCTGTGTCTTGGTGACATTTAAATTATAATACGATACCTGCCCGTATGCTGTGATGTGATGCATGATATTAGGCAGGGATATGTGTGGTTGTGTTAGGGTGAGAAATATGTCATCTGCAAAAAGACTTAATTTGTATTCTTTCTGGTTCAAAGTTATCCCGTGAATTGCTGATTCCATCCTGATCTTGGCAGCCAATGGCTCCAGTGCCAAAACGTATAGCAGTGGGGATAGTGGACAACCCTGGCGGGAGCCATTAGAGATTTTGAATTTGTCAGAGCAGAATTCTGCGTTTAGGACTTTTGCCGTTGGGCAGCTGTATAGAGTTGCTACTGTATCTGTAAAATGGGGAGGAAAGCCGAATTTCTCCAGGACTGCTGTCAGGAAGCGCCAGTTAAGCCTATCAAAAGCCTTCTCTGCATCCAGTGATACCAGAAGGCTATCCATTCCTTTCTTCCTTATGCTGTGTATTAGGTCTAAAACTTTCCGGGTGTTGTCTGTTCCCTGCCTCCCTGCTACAAATCCTACATGGTCATTGTGAGTTAGGGTTGGGAGTATTGAGCTTAGTCGACAGGCATATATTTTAGCATATAATTTAGTGTCTGTGTTGAGGAGGGAAATTGGTCTGAAGTTTGGGCAGTGGGTCGGGGGTTTTCTTGGCTTTGGGAGAGTTATGATGTGGGCTAGTAATAGATCTTCTGGTAGTGATTTAGTTTGAGTGGCGGAGTTAAAGAGGGATGCTAGGTGTGGGGCTAGTATAGCCACGAATTTCTTGTAATACAAATTTGTGAAGCCATCTGGGCCTGGTGCCTTATGTTTAGGTAAAGTTTGTATGGCTTCTTCTACTTCTCCAGGAGTGACTGGCTTTTGTAGTATGGTGATTTGGTCCTGAGTAAGGGTGCTTGTTTGGATTGCGCCAGATTGTAGAGCTTATCGTAGTAGGTTGCAAATGCATTGCTGATGTCTATGGGGGAGATCACCTTTGTATTGTCATTTGTATATAAGTGTGATATTTTTGCATTTGCCTCAGCATGTTTCAATCTGGTAGTTCCCCTTTTTTGCTTGCTTTGTTCCCCTGTGCGTTGTATATGGCTTTGAGTTTGCGTATATTGAATCCTACTCGTTGCAGTGTGAGTAGTCTAATTTTGTCCGCTATATCTCTTATGTTTTTTTGTATTGCTTCTGTTGACTGCGTTTTATTTTTGTTGGTGAGGTCTGTTACTTTTTTGTTCCATTCCAGCCATTGTGCTTGATTGGTTTGTTTCATGTGTGTCGCTTGTTTTATTAAGAGTCCTCTAATTACCACTTTGTGTGCTTGCCATGTGGTGCTTGCTGATGTGTCTCCTATGTTATTAAGTGTGTTATGGCTCCTTCTATTTGGTTGGAGAAAGATATGTCTGTCAGTAGTGACTCGTTGAGTCTCCAGGGGCTTTTGTGCTTATAGTAGTAGTTGTCTTTAAGGGTCAATGTTAGTGGGGCATGGTCCGACCATGTAATCAGGCCGATAGAACAGTCCAAGCCCTGGTCTAAGTGTTGGCTTTCTATATGAAATCTATCTATTCTATTATATGTGTTATGTGTGGATGAGTGGTATGTGTAATCCTTTTCCTGTGGGTGAAGGACTCTCCACAAGTCATTCAGTTTGTTGTTGTCTAGTAGTTTAAGGTATGTTGCGCACGCTTTTTGTTGCTTAATTTGTATTACTTTAGCAGCCTGGGAAGTTGTGTCGCTATTGGGGTCGATGATTTGGTTAAAATCCCCACATAGGACCAATATTCCCTCCTGTATCGACCATAATAGGAATAAGATTTTGTGTAGAAAATCCCTTTAGTTTGTGTTTGGAGCATATACATTTGCTAAGGTGTATTTGGTGTTATTGATCGTGCATACTACTATCGTGCATCTTCCCTCCTTGTCTGTCTCTGAATGATGGTGCTGGAAGGATACTGTATTGCTAATTAATATTGATGTCCCTTTTGTTTTCTTCCCTGATGTGGCATGATATTAATGTGGGTATATGGATGGTTTCAGGGTAGGCGGTAGTTTAAAATGTGTTTCCTGAAGACAGAGTATGTCAGGTTGGTCCCTCATAAGAACTCTGAAAAGGCAATGTCGCAATGTCGCTTGTATGGGGTATTCAACCCTCTTACATTATAGCTTTGTATTTTCATACTTTGGTACAGTGTTTTGGATCGCTAGAGTTGGTTCGTGTATTCTTTGTATGAGGTGGATTGATCTAGTTGCCGGTGTTGTGGTACTTCTTTTTGCATATTGCGGGGCATTGTTGCGCTTGTTGCGCTTAGTGGTAGTAAAGGTTATCCGCATTTGGCAGTTGGTGGACCTTGATAACGGTTCATTGTTCGGGTGGGTGTCTCTATCGTGTAGGGTGGACACAGCTGTCTCTCTGGATAAGGTGGGAGGAGGAGTGTGGGGAGGGGTTCTGGGTGGGTCATACTGTGAGGGTATGAACAACAAAAGTATTAACACTATAGCCTATTTGTGGGACTTTCTGACTTTCAGTACCATTGAGAGCGTGGGTATTCAAAAGGAAATTACAATAGTGAGGTTGGCCTTTGTCAAGTTGTTATGACCATTAACCATCTTAGGGTGTTCCCCTAGGCAACTGTCGGCCCTGTGGTAGGGTAGTGGGACTGCTGCCATCTCTTTTGGATTCAACACCCATTTACATTATAGTAGCATAACAATGAGTACTCATAACATGCAACACTGGAGCTTTATACAAACAGTGATATTAAGAGAATATATATGTATATTATTATTTTTTTATATAGATATATATCCTTCCCTCTTCTCTTTCTGGGTGTATTACATGGTAAACCGATTCTCAGGTGCCCCCTATTTGCTGCTCAGTCTCTCTGTCAACTGTTTCACCTCCCGTGTTACTGGAGGGTGGTGTAAACCCCTAGGGGGGAGCTGTCTATTGAGGTTCTTCTGTGTGGTATAGGTTTATGCGGGATGGTGATTGCAGTATGTTGTGGTGTGTTTGTCTGGTTATCTGGGGTATGTGGTAGCTTATTTTGGTGACATTTGTGGTTTTATTGTATTTTATGGTATTGTGTTATGTTGTTACCATTAAATTAATCTAATCCTATTCTTCAGGCAGTGTAAGCCACTATGTGGATTGCTTGGTAGGTAGGGTGTGTTGTAGGTGGGCCTATCCTAGTCACCTAGGTGCAGAGTTAGTGAAATATTTCCTGTACATTGCTACAGTTATCCTGAGTAGTCACTTTAAAGAACAATATTTACCTCCCCCATAATACCTCCCCGCTCCCCCCGTTCTTCCACAGGCATAGTGGCCCTTCACGGACAGCAGCACGCCCTTCACTGGAGAGGCACTTCAGCCATGCTCATTTAGTTCTTGTGCCCGCTTGCTATAAGTGTCTCCTATCTGGTGTCAGCTGCGGCTGCTCCGGCCCAAGTCTAGGTGTGATGTGGATTCATACAATAAACGTGGTAGTGTGCAGGTCGGTTAGTACCGCAATACAGTCCCAGTGGCTTGGCATGATTGATAGTCTCTTTGTCCCCAGTATGCGTGCGGTGAGCGTGTCGTGAGTGGATGTGCTTTTTATGTATGTGGGATGCTGCTGGTGTTGCGAGAGCAGCATAGGGAGTTGTTGTAACATATTCACCTTCCTAGAGACCAGTTGTCCTTTCTTCTGTTGCAGATAGCGTATGACATCTCACGCCATTTCAGCCGCTTGATGAGTTCCAAAGTGTGATTCCCCTCTGTCTAGGCTGCAGGACTTCAGTGTTAGTTGCGGGCTATTTTCCAGTTGGCTTGAAGCTTGCCCGGTTGTGGGCTGTTGCCACTGTGCGTTTGGGCCTGGGGTTGTATGCCCCATTTCTTTAGGATTTTTATTCCATCTTCTAGGGATGTGATGATATTCATAACTCCATTTTTTTGTATGAGGAGACGGACTGGGTGACCCCAGTGGTAAGGTACCTCGTGGAGCCGGAGTGCGTCCGTTATTTCTTTGTATTCCTTCCGTTTTTTAAAAGTTTGAGCAGAGAGATCTGTGTAAAGTTGGATGGAATTGTATGGGTCTGGAAGGTCTCTGCGTTGTCTAAATGCCTTCATCAACACTTCTTTTGCGTGATAGTAGTGGAGATGGGTGAGTACATCTCTCGGCGCTTCTGCTGGAAGGAAGCTTGGTTTTGCGACTCTATGTGCTCTATCCATAAGCAGGATGTCTGCTGGAAGGTTAGGGGCTAGTATTTAAAAGTATTCCGTGAGGTACGCCATGATTTCGGGCTGTTTCACCGTCTCAGGTATTCCCCTTAGCCGTATGTTCTGTCTTCTCGGCCTGTCTTCCAGGTCCATGACTTTATACTGGCAAGACTCTAGTGCCTGTTCCAATTGGTGGACATGATCAGCCATGTCGTTATGTTCTTCTGCGTACTCGCCCCTGCGGTTTTCCATGCGGGCTGTTCTGTCTCCCAGCTCCTGTACATCTCCTTTCAGGTCCGAGATTGACTTGTTGAGATTGTGCAGTAGTTTATCTGACATTTCTCCTAGACAAGCCTGGAGTATATCTTGTGTGACCGGCATGCCTCTTCCTCCTGGGGAGTCCTGCAACGGCAACGTATCGTCGCCATCTTGGTCTTGGTCTCCTGCGCTCGGAGTCTTAGTTGGTTGGTTGCGGGCTGAAAAGAACCCGTTTTTGTCACTTTTTTTCTGGGATCTTTTCCCCCTTGCTTTGAGCCATGCTGAGGGGATAGTCGTGGGGTTATTGCTGGTCACTGTCGCTGAAATCGTCGCTATTTAGGCCAGAATAGAACGGAGATATTCTCACATGCCGTGCGTTAAGCCACGCCCCCGGAAACATCTTTTTACTTGCCAAATTTTAAAATTCTGGGCCAGATTTAAGAAAGAATATAATTTAACATGGGATAATAGTATCAGAGCCAAGAGCAGTGTGAGTCTTTTGGAATACAACATGGAAGATATTAATTTATCTACATGGAAAAGGAATGGGATAGAGGCAATAATAGATATTCTTGATGGTGCCCATATCAAACCTTTTCATGAACTAGCTCTAGAATTTCATTTATCTTCAAAATAAGTTTTTTTTATATCTCAGAGTTAAAAACTATCTGAGAAATTTTACATGCAAAAAAGACAATGAAATCTTAGGTTTGGAGTCCTTATTAAAATATGGAAATAATATCAGATCCTTGATGAGAAGCCCTATTTTTGATAATGAAGATCTCTCTACAGTAGATCCAGTTATTGGTATTATAAACAATTGGAAAATGGATCTTGAAATCGAGATCCAATTATTGGACTGGTATAAGATTATTCCGATAGTCAAGAAATCTATACATTGTCTCAATCTTATCGAATTACAATATAAGATTTTGACTAAATGGCATTTTGTTCCTAAGAAAATTAATAAGATACGTACTCCACGTACTCCTCTTTGTGCTGGCGTTGTAGCCAACAAGAAGGTTCCTACATCCATATTTGCTGGAATTGTCAAAAATGAAAGCGCTTTTTGGAACTAACATACAAATATATTGAAAATCTTGACAGGCATCCATATGATATTTTCCCCTCAATTCGCATTATTACACCTTGACTGACCTAAATTGTCAAAAAAACATATTCTGATGGCTGAAAAAAAATGTATTGTAAACTTCTGGAAGCAGAAGGAATCCCCAACGTGGATAATTCTTAAAACACAAATCTCTTTCCAACTGAGAATGGAGAGAGAGCCTCTGCCTATAACTAAATATATGGAATAACTTTATTCCAGAGGAATAGTTTATATATATAAAATTGGATGAGAATTCCCTGAATAATTAGATGATATTCATCACCTCGGAAAGTGCTCATTACGTCTCTCTGTCCCTCATTCTTCCCATGGGATTATCCTGGGGGCCCATGATGTGAATAGGGTATTATATATGTATAATTAAAATGGGACCTTCTTCTGGTTTACTCAACTGTATTTTAATGTATGAGACCATCATGTTTTGTTTTTGTTATGTTTTTATGTAATGTAGTATGTTAAGGTCTCTAAGGAATTGGATTTCAACAGATCGACCAATGTGTGTTTTGGATAATCAGGAAATGGGATAAATGGGCATTGGGAGATCATTATTGTATTGTATTTTGGTGACCTGTGATTGTATGTCTTATTTGAATATATGGAAAATATTGAATAAATATTTATAAATTAAAAAAAAAATAATAATACTAATAAGTGAAGGGGAAGAAGAGAGAGGGAAGGGGAAGAAAGGGGGAAAATATAAAGATTAGTATGACTATATATATTTTTTATTATTATTTAACTTTTATTAATTTTTTTGTAACAAATTTATGCTTAATTCTTTAGCCCGACCGAAATTTAAGGGATAGTTGTTCAGATTTATGCGAAATGTTTTTAATGAAAATAGTGTCGGAAACTTGGAATACCTCATGCTTCATTGTGTGCCTATTGTAGAGGCACAAAAACCGAGGGGTGGGTGGATGGATGTACATCCACTTCCTAGAGGATTGATTCATTCTCGGATGAGAGGAGGAATGACAAATTACATAAAATTTAGTTTGTTTTTCGTTGTTTTTGGTTACTGTTGTTCCCCCTTGTTTTCCAAGGAGGAGGTCAGCCAAGGCTAATATGGTTGGTACGATCAACTGGCCAGGTTTTGTATGTAATCTATATGTTAAATTTACTTTTGTAAGCACACTGTTGGGGATGTTAGGGGATTCTCTCCTACAGGAAAATGGTTAAAATTATGTCGTTAAATGTTTAGAGCTTGAACTCTCCTCAATAGAGATAACAGATTTTTAATTATATGACAAAGAACAGAGTTGATGTGCGATTCTTACAAAAAACTAATTGGAGGGAAGTTGACAAAATTAACTGGGGAGGCACTAGATTTCCAATTCTAATTCAAGTTTCAGTAAAGGACAAAAAGAAAAGGTGAGTTGCTATTATATTTGCCCAAACAACAAAAGTAGAAATAATATACCAACTTAAAGACCCTGAGGGTAGATTTTTAATCATTATTTGCAAGTTAAATGAGATAAAATATACATTGGTAAATATTTATCCACCAAATGAATCCACCAAATGAAGTTCTGTTGTTAAAAAAAAAAAAAATAATTAGATTCAATAAAAATGGGAATTTGTCTAATTGCAGGGGATTTTAATTGTGTGTTGGATCCTACAATTGATAAAAAAACTTTCTAAAAAACTATTGGTAAATCATAGACTAGTTAAAATGGCTAAATCTTTGAGCAGTAATATAAATAAGTTTAACTATTTTGATCTGTGGAGAACATCATACCCTGGGAAATCTGAAAATACTTATTTTTCTAGAGTACATTTATCGTACTCGCAAACTGATATTATTTGGAGCAACCTTGTCTGTTTGGAAAACTTAGAGGATTTAAAAATCCTACATAAATCCTGATCAGATCATAGCATCAATGTGTTGATAATGAGGTACTACTGGAACAATAATAGTAGAGACACCTGGCTGTTAAATGATCATCTACTTTATGACCCAAATGTCTAGAGATATTTAAAAATAAGAGAAAATATTTATTTGCAACAAATTATCCCAAAGACACCTCATATACTAATAACTTGTGTGCTTTTAAGTCAACTATGAGAGGGAACTTTATTAGTTTAAATGCACAATTTAAAAAAGAAAGAACTGCAGACATGATAATACTGCAGGCGGAGTTGATAAAAGCTTCAAAGAAAAATAAATTGACGCCATCTAAAGAGAACAAAGAATATTTGAATAAGATCCAGAATCAAATAAATCAAAAACTCTTAGAAAATAATGCAAAGATATTAGAGAAACTAAGATGTAGGTATATTAGTAAATGAAGCTGAGCAGATAAGGTATTGACGAAGAAACTAAGAGACAAGGTTGCCTCAGGTAAAATCACAAGACTGCTGGATGAGAAAGGGGAATATCTTAATCTTAAATCGATTGGAAAATGTTTTAACTCATATTATAGTAAATTGTATAATCTTCCCATAACTAACAAGGATATGAATGGCTATTTAGAAAACACTGATATCTCAATGATTTAGGGATATCAGGGATAAAACTGCCCAATAACTCTAGAGGAGGTAGAAAGGGTAATCCTTAATTTTAAGACTAAGCAAACTCCAGGTCGTGATGGTTTGTTAAATTTGTTTTACAAAACTTTTGTAGACTTAATTGGTACTCATTTAGTTAATACATTAAACCATATTGTTACAATGAGGGGATTCCTCAGTGAAATGCTCTGAGCCAATATTCTCCCAATACTAAAGCAGGACAACGACCCATCAAAAGTCGATAATACTAAACGCATAATTGACATAATAGATGCTGCTAATTATAAAAAAGTTCCATTGCTGTTATTGGCAGTAGATGCTGAGAAGGCATTCGACAGGATCAGTTGGGAGTTCCTGAGTAAGACACTGGAGAAATTTGGTATTCAGGGATGGATGTACCGGGCAATCCTGTCTCTATATGATAGTCCCACAGCAAAAACTGTGGGACCTAATATTTGTGCTGATTGGGTAACACTGCATAATGGGACCAGACAGGGTTGCCCGCTATCTCCAATGTTGTATATTATGACAATGGAAATATTATTAATAAAAAAATCCACTAATAAAAGATTTCTCCACTAACCAGAGAGACCTCATGTTGAATTTGTATGCAGACGACCTGATCTTGACCCTAACTGACCCTGTCACATCCCTAGAAGCTTTAATGATGGAGGGGGAAGCATATAGCTCAATAACCAACTATAAAATCAAGGTGCATAAATCAATAGCATTGACTATTAATATTGACAGAAATAGCAGGGTCTACTTGGAAGACTGCTATAAATTCAATTGGATTAAAAATACTTTACCATACTTGGGAATAATCATAACTAAAGATATAGCTGACTTAATGCAGACAAATTTTCTAAGTTGTTTTAGAAACACTCATAGTTCCTTGAAAAAATGGAGACATGTCGATTTATCATGGTGGGGGAGAATCAATCTTACTCAACCTTGGCTTGACATGGTTCAGCAGGAATTTGTTAATTTTATCTGGAAAGGGAAAAGGCCCAGAATTAATAAAATCTATTGACACTGAAAAGTCGAGATGGTGGGTTAGGCTTCCCTAACATGACATACGCCTATCTCTCGAACATTATTTTTCATTTATATAGGACACAACTTCATACTGCTAAGAAAGAGGGCTGGCATGTATTGGAAACTGAAATGTGTTGAATTGAGGACCTGAGCTGTTTGGTGTGGATGGAGAAAAAGGATGCTTGGGTTAAATCTGCCAGGGTTGCTAATGCCTGGTTGGACTCACTTTTATATGAATGGGAAAAGATAAAACGTATGAGTGGTCTAGAAAACAAAGTGCCTAGAAGCCTCAAATTAACTTGCATGTGGAGCGTGGACTCAAAAAGGCATATTGCTGATTAATGATAAATGATAGTATTAAACTATTTGCAGCACTTACCCAAGAGTTCCAATTATCAACTAAAGA